CCCCCCCGCCTTTGGCTCTATGATTTCGAGGTGAAATCAGTTACTATTATGTGGTAAAAAATTTGTGGCACAACTTATCCTCAGATATCTCTTTAACGGGTGAATCAATGTCATCCATACTTTGAACAGCAGTTTGTATCAATTTGTCTTAACTTAATAATATTTTTCCGCAAAAATTCTTAATGAATTTATATAAAATACAATAAATCTCCGTTATGGGAAAAATGAGTGTTCACAACTCTTCCCACTTCTCACACACATTTTGCATTTGTATATGTATATGGCCTATGTCAGAGCTCACCAATTACCTTTTTTAATGGCAAAACTTGTTACAATAAATTAGTTGTATAGTGAACACATTTTTGGCACTAAAGGTTCTCAAAACATGCGTTCAAAAGGCATAATGTTGCGATTAGAAAAAAATGATGGACTTGCTTTTAAAAGCAATATTGTCCAAGCTTTAAACTTTTAAAAAAATCTGTAAAAACCATCGACTGGGATTTTTTATTAGTATTTATTAAGGAAATTTTTCTAGAATACAGTGTACAGGTGTTTGAAAAAATACTCGTCTGTTAAGACAAATTGATATAAATCATTGTGCAAAAGTTGTAGAATCTATGTTCGATAGTTAAGGAGATATTTGACAATGAGCTGTGCTGTGAAATTTTGACCACATTAGAGGGCTTTTTTTTGCTAGACTAGAATGATGAATGGGTTGTGGGTAACTCCAGTTTTATCTCTTCTGACAGTGACACATTACTTTGTTTCAGCTTTTTGTCTCAGTCAGCCTATTGTTCTATCAGGAACTCGAGGCATGAGTTTCTGTTAAAGTCTATTTATTAAGTAATGTCATACATTTTTTTTATCACGCATTATAGTATATTGAATGACCTTGAACGTACTTGCGATCCTCAGACTGAAACCGCAGTTCATTATGAAAGTGAAAGCGAGAGTGATGATGAAGATTCACGTCATAATCGTGGAAAATTCAAAACTGAGAGAACTGGAGTAATTTCTCTGACTGGAACTGTCAAGAGAGCAAGCATTCCTGATACACTAGGTAACCAGCATAATAAACATTTGCATTTGTTGTATTGATTTATGTACGGTCAGTTACAGCAAATATATTTTTGCGTCTATAATTACAATATTGTTGGATTGATGCTATATTGATGGGGAAGGCAGTGGTAACTGGTTGTGGATATAAAAATGAAGTTTTTAAAATAAACTGATAATTTTCTGGAAACAGCACACTGCCTCAAAAATATGATCTCCAGCCTCTCCTCTAAGAATTGTATCAATATGGGTTTGGGGGAAGGAATTTTTTTCCCCAGAGCATTTAATTGCTTTAATTAGCGAGTGATTTTTATTGATATAAAATTTAGAAATACTTGGTATAAAATTGTGTGATAATTTGTGGTTACTTTGACTTGAAAATCACAAGATGGAGGAAACTGTTAAGAGTACATTTTCATTTAGAATTGCTGCAAGCAACCTAGATTTTTAGTGTTGAGTAACATAAGCATAGAGAATAAATGCTACAAAAACTGTTTGACTTATCAAAGGTTAAAGAAAATTTATTTCTTCATGTTTCTTATAGAAATCGATGATGAGCAAGCAGCTCAAATTGAAAAGTTCATGAGCGACAAACCACATGGTGGAAAACCTCCTGGCCAGGGACGGGGCATGGCTCGTGGGCAAAAAGCAGGAGGTAGAGGGCAGGCTGGTGGCCGCGGCCAGCCGGGTTTACTGGGTCAAGGACGACCTAGTGCACACAGCAGGCTCGGGGCTAAGCCACCAGGAGGTGTGTCTCCGCTAAGACCGGGACTTCTACAAGGTCCGAGAGATGGACCCAGCCCTCAGAACCTCATGTCGCAGATGATTCAAAATATGAGAGCCGCCTTCCCAAGGGGTCCTCAGATGAGAGGTCCATTTCCGGGTGGGTTGTTCAACCCCAGAGCGCCCATGGCTTTGCGTCAAATGATGTTACAAGGAAGAGGGCCTTTCCCTGGGGAACCACTAGGCCCTAGAGCACCATTTCAAGGAGGCCCTGGTAACAGAGAGGGTCCCAGGGCTAACATGAGGTTTGGAGGACCCCTAGCACAAGGAGGCCCTCCAAGGGGTCCGAACCCTCGAGGTCCCCAGCCATTGAGGGGACCGTTTCCTAATGAAGGGCCTAGAGGCCTCCCAGGAGATGGTGGACCTTTTCCAAGGGGACCTGTTCCAAGACAAGCTCTCAGAGGTCCTCAGCCGAGGGGTCCGCCTGGCCTCATGAGACCCCAGCACCCCCCAAATGTCGATCAAGGAGGACCTGCCTTTAGGATGAGGGAACCTGGTGGCATGATTCGTGGACCTCATCCAAACATGAGACCCTCTCTGATGGGACCTCGCCCAATGATGCCTCCAGGCATGGGCCCCCCTCGACGGCTGCTGACAGATCAAGGGAAGCCAATCCCTTCTCTAGTCAAGCCCACGTTGACTCCGCCGCAGAGTCCCCACAGCCCGAGAGGACCTTCACCACAGCAAAGGTTTGCGGGAGCGAGACCATTGGTGAGCACTCTCAGATTATTCTTGGTTTCTTCACTGTTTATTTTGTTATTTAAAAAACTGAAAGCTTAGAAGATATTTGTAATGTATTTGACGAAGACTTTGTATGTGGGTTTGCTTCTTTTTTTGTTGCTGGAAACTGAGATTTGGAGGAATGGCATTTGGAAAATTTTCCTACAAAATCTGTGTACAGAAGTGAGACAGACTGCCAGGCCCTGGGAATCTTGGAATATTAGGCATTTGACATGAATTATTGATCCCTAGTATAAATGCAGAATTTTGGTACATTCAGTATTTGAGCTTGCAAGAGACTTAGGAAAGACCATAGAAAATGTACTTTCTTTTTCTTTTGAGCCGTTGACTTTTCCACAACTCGAATGCACACCTTTACATGCTGCGATGTGAATAATTTCTTATCAGTTTCATCAAAATGATTAAATTCAATGGTACCAAAAACAACTCAATGAACCAAATAAAATGTGGTTAATTTGAGGAATGGACTAAATATATTTTCTTTAAAATTTACTTTTTATCCTTAGATGCTGTCAGGACCGCCGCGGCCACTGGGAATGCAACAAGGTCCTCGTTTTCAGGGCCCGTCGTCTCTAAACCAGCAACCAAGGCCTTTGTTAAGTCCCCAGGGGGATGGGCCCAACAGAAAACGAAAAATCTATATCAATCCCCGATTTCAAGGAGAGCAGGTAAATTCCAGGCCAGTTTTGTTTCATGGGTTTAGCTTTCTCATAGTTTAGTGTCTTCTCCGAATGTTAAGTTTTGTTCAGGAATGAAACTTGCATTCCATCAAAAAATCAATGTGAGAAATATTGGGATATGACTCACTTTTAGTCATTTACGTCTTTAGTGGGAAGGACTGGTTTCTTTCATTCTATGAATATTCCTATATGTAGCAATGCCAATGAAAATTCAATTTTTCACTTAAGCCCTTTTTTATTTGGTACCTAATAACGATTTTTCAATTCTAAGAATTATGCTTCTTGAATTTTAAGAATCGGTTCATTTATAAAAAAGTTATGGGGTTGTAAAGGTTGGCAAAATATGGATGACCCACATATAGGAAAATACTCCTAAAAAGTGGACCACGCAGTAGCAGATTCTGTAAGAAAATTGACGATATCTCGGTAACTAATCGGAGTGTTAGAGAGAAACTTTGCTGCCCGATGTGTTTTTGGGTGTAGAAATCATTTATGCAGTCAGATTTACTACCCATTTCGTAGTTATTTTTTTATAATTAAAATTTTGGTGTACATATTACGATTTTGCGGAAAAGGGGTGTCGGGATGAGTCCATTTTATTTATAGCATCGTATCACAACTTGGGATCTTTAAGAATATATGTCGGCAGCGTGACTAAATAATTGCAAAGCTTTTTATGATGACTTTAGACCATGCCAACCGTAAAAGATAAGTTAATTCAATCTAGCATGCCGAACAATTAAAAATTCTTTTTCCTCGTTGAGACGCGAACACCCTGAGACGAGATAACCTCGCCTCGGAATACCCCCATTGCGATGTTACAGGGGAATAGAGAGAAAAACAACCGAATGCACGCGCCGGCCATTGCCCTATTTCAAGTGACCAATGAACGGGCCCGGAATAGTCATGCGGGGATTTGTAGGTCACATACATTTGCCGCGAGAGTGAGGGGAAAATGGCCGGTCTCCGTGCGAAGCCCCTTTGGATAGGGGGGTAGTCGTAGATTTATGATCGGGTCTAAACAACTGCTTGACACAGAACGTTCAAATTTGAGCACACTATAGAGAATAGATAGGTCTATTACCATCTCGGCGTTGAAATTCAAACTCCTTATAGTTTTCAGTGTGCCCGATACGAAAGTGTTCCCGACACCAAAAGTATAGGTTAATTTATGTGTACAAACTTCAACATCCACGTATCATTAGTTTACCCTATTTTCTGATTGGTTGCCGAGTTTCATTCGGATTGGTTCGGAAATAAAGCAGACCGAGGTTGACAAAGTAAGCCACCTATGCTTCGGCTGGGTCTGCAAAATGGGAAAGCCCGATTGGCATTGCTACTATATGACATGCACAGCAGGCACTGGATTAGCTGTTAAATTACTCGTTTGTAGTAATACATTTAGTAACATATGATATTCTTGGACTTAGTTTCTTTAAGAATTTTTTCCTGATCCTTTCCTTCAATGTTTTGACTGCCATAAAACAATGGCAATTCAAGAAAAGCATTTTTTTCTGTGCAACATTGTGCTGATATTGTCTTGATGGAGTTATGTGAATATGTGAAAGCTTACTACTCAATTGACATATTGTGGACTGAACTGAAAATCATTTCCATTTTCAGGGACCAACAGGGATCACAAGAACCGTTCGAATTGGTGTTCCTCTTCAGCAAAAAAGGTTTCAATTTTTCAATTTTTGCCAATACTATAATGCAGAACAAAGATTTAATTTTTTGTGTGCATCTCTTATGTTTGATAATTTTCTTCTAACTGTTCTTTGCTTGAGTTCAGGTGGCTTTTATAGAGCATCTTATGGAAGTTTTGTAACTGCATATAAAGTGCCACAGCCTTTTGTAACCTTTGGCCCTCACCAAGTTTTTTTAGAGGTCTTCTTTCCGAATATATTTTGTGAAAAACAACAGTTAAAAACTTAAAGTAGTATATTTACTGCATTCTTTACGGCTTTTCGATTTATTGATAGTTTAGTCATTAGCATGCAATATATTATGTTTAATATATTTTCGAGTTTTTCATTTCAAAGAATACACTGAATTGGTGAATATTGGATTGATTACAAATGTTATGTCAAATTACTTCCAGTATTAATGTATTGTCAAAGAGATATAAATATCATATTTGCACATGTGGTACAGAGCGAAGGCCCTTCTGGACAAAGCTATATACACTCAGAAGAAAGGACCAGGCACTGCCCCTGCTGTTGCTGTGAAACGAAAGTCAACAGGAGGTGAAGAGGTGCCAGTCAAATCATACAAGACAGAAAATCGGTCTCAGGTTTGTGTAACATTTGTGAATATTTCAGTGCAAAGTGCTTTCTTATTTTGTCCTGCTTGTTTCATGAGGCCATCAACTCTGTTGTTTTAGGGATGGTTACGTATGCTTATAGCTTTTCATTGATTAAAATTTGTTTCGAAAATCTGCCATATTGTAATTGTTGTTTTTATCATCATACCTTTGGGTTTGTACCTGTTTGAGCATGGTTGTCTGTGGCAGCTATGTTCTGACATACAGAACGTACTGCATTAAAGCAGGAGATGATGACATCGTTTAGTCAAATGTAGGCACGGAGTCAGAATATGTACAATGCTTTTCTTATTGTAGTTACTTAGATTGTAGTGCTGTTCATTAAGGTTATGATGCTTTTATAATGATAAACTTATTGGGGGGGGAGGGGGGTTCCTTACTTTTTTCCCGTCAGTCAACCATTTCAGTTGGTAGTCTTGCTCTGTTCCTGCTGAATGACCACACTGTTTTGGTGACTTTCTTTTCAACCTGTAAGAATAGCCCCAGTCGTGAAGTTCACTACTTTCTTGTCTTGGCCTGCTCCCTTTAGGAACTTTGTTGTTTGTCACAGGAACCGATGGATGAGGAGTCAAGACAGATGAAGGCTCTCTTAGACGAACAGAAACGTAGGCGGGAAATAATCATGAGGAGGAAAGAGGCTGCTAGACAGAGGCAGGCGGAAGAGAAAAGAAAAGGACTGGAACAAAAGCAGCAGGAAGAAGGTATTGGTTGTTTGGCGTGGTAATGAAAATTTGGTTGACATTGTTCAAGAGAAGCACAAGAAGGCCTCATGTGCTTTTCACATCTTTAAGTATGCTAATGCTGGATACATTTTAAAGTACGAAAAAATCGGTGAAGTGGACCCAGTCAAAACATAGGGAATATACAGTAGTTCTCATGTTGTACCTAGAACTAGAATGTAGTTATATTATAAATGTTCTCTCAGATCGAGGGAAATTTTGTATGTTTTGTGATGTGTGTCCTCATATGGTTTTGACACATGAGTAAAAAAGATGTTGGTAACGTGCTCTTTGGTTGTTTTTCTGCTTTCCCTGACTCTGTATGTATGCAGTATTAATACTCTCCTAAAAAGTTGTGCTTGTAAAAAAAAAAAAGATACACTTTTAAAATGTAAACACCTCAATGAAACGAGTATAACTTTGTTCTTGTTTGATTTCAGTCAAGACAGGTGATGCGGTGGGTGCACCAAAGAGTGGTGCAAACAAGACAAGTCGCAGCGGCCCTGTGTCTTCAGCAAGCCAGCGACCGAACATTACTCTCTCCAGGCCAACTGGTGTTGGGAGGAGGATCGAGTCTCGGTTGGGACCTCCGCCTTCATCAGCACCATCTGCAAGAGGACCAGTAAGTGAAATATTGTGCTAGGATCTGTTTATTCTTATGTGTCTAATAGCTGTATGACGTTGATTTAGTGAAGTTTTTTCTTTTGTGGAAAAAAATTATAAGATGTTTCAGTTATCTCAGTATCATGCTCTCACAGTTGTCATGTAAGAGGCGTTCTTTATAAAATTAGTTCATTAATGATTCACTGATAGAAATTCTTTGAAAACAATCACGTTTATATCCATGTCTTCTCAGGGTTCCCATCCTACAGGCCAGTCCCGGCCTCAGTTGTCTCGAGGTGGACCACAGCAAACCATTCAGGTCCTGACCCCAGGACCACGGTCCCCTGTAATTGGCCAGCTGAGACCTGCATCTGCTCCTGCTTTTCGAAGTCCCCCCCAACCATCACAGGGCTTTGGTCCAAGGGGTCCTCAAGGGGCAAGGCTGCGAAGTCCAGCTGATCCAAGGTTTGGCGTACCTCCTCAACTCACTGGACCAGCAGGAGTCAGGGGTCCTCCACCAGGAGTTTCACAAGAGTTCAGGAGTCCAGCTCCGAACCAAGAGGTCAGATTTAGAGGAGCTCAGCCCTCCAATCCTCCTCCGAACCAGGGCTTTAGGGGGCCAGCTCCCCGGTCAGCCCCAGCTCTGGGATCTGCACCACCACAGTTCAGAGGACCCCCTCCAGCCCAGCCAGCTCAGAGGTTCCAGTCAGGACCCTCTCAAGCCCCACCCACTCAGAGGTTCCAGTCAGGACCCTCTCAAGCTCCACCTGCTCAGAGGTTCCAGTCAGGGGCCCCTCAAGCCCCACCCACTCAGAGGTTCCAGTCAGGACCCTCTCAAGCCCCACCCAGTCAGAGGTTCCAGTCAGGACCCCCTCCTTCAGGACAACATCAGCCTGCTGGGCAGCCTCCCCCTCAGCACCCACGCTTCTCGTCCCCACCACCTGCAGCTCAACCTCCGTATGGCTATGCTCCGCCTCCCACTCAAAATCCTAGTTTGAACCCTCCATTCCAAGCACGAGCAGCACCCTCCCACCCTCCCCCGAGGCCCCCGCCTCCTGGACAACAGTATGGACAACAACCCTACCAGCAAGCAGCCCCAGCAGCACAGAGCTATCACGGCACACAGTACCAGCCCCCAGCTAGCCATGCCCCTGCGGAAACCCTGCCATACGCTCACCATCAAGCGCCACCACCACCCACAAGCCATCTCCATGCGGCCCCCCCACCTGTCATTCAACATCAGACGGTCCCTCCCCCCCATCATGCCGCCCCTCCGCCTCAGCAGCTTCACGTAGCCCAGCCGGGCGTACCTCCCACAAGCTACCAGGCTCCCAGCTATGCTCAACCTGCCCATGTGGCACCCAACTATGCTCAGCCCACCCACGCCGCTCCCACATATGCCCCTCCCACTCACCATTCTTATCCCACCCATGCACCTTCCACCCAACATGCCCCCCCTCCCTCCTCCCACGTTTCTTCCACGTACGCCCCACCCAGCCAGAGCCAGCAGTACCCAGCCTCTACAGCTGCCACCCAGCAGTACAGTCACGTGTCCCAGGTTTCCCACCAGTACCAAGACCAGCAGGCCTTGTACAGCCAGTATCAGACACCTCAGCAATCTCACTATGACTACTATTCAGAAGGCCAACAAATTCAGACCATTTCTTCTTTGGTAAGCAAAGAAACATCTTATAAATAAAACAAAAATAACTCTTTTCTGCTCTAATATTGTCAGCTCAGTAACAAAATAATAAGGAAAAAACACTGATTTATCAGTGCAAGGGGCAATATGAATAATTTTTCGGCTTTGTAAACAGACACTCAGTTTCAAGCATTTGAAAGATTCTCTCTCTTGTTGTCTTCTTCTCGGCCATGTCCATTATGAATTAATGGGCAAGAAGTAACCTGCGATTTATTTTATTGTCTGGCACATATTCTTTTATATTGTTTATCCTTGCAAATTCTTTTTTTAATAATATTTTTTTCCCCTCTTGAGATTTTACATGGTTTTGAAGTTGAAATTTTCCATGATTTTCAGGGATTGATTTTTGGGTTTCTTTTAAACTTCAACAGATTGTGAAAACGACTTGGTGCTTTTTTCTCTGTTTCTTTTTTCTATTTAAAAAATTAAAGTTGTAAAAAAAATTTAATTAATTTTTTTCGGTAAAGCTTACAATTTTCAACATTCATGGCTCAAGGTTATCAGGCATGACACTGAACTCTTGTGATCTCTCCACAGACTCCCAGCACCCCAGCTGCTGACCAGCGCTCGGTTCAGCATCACAGCCCTGTGGGCCAACGGATACAGACCATTGCCCAGAGAGTGCAGCCGGCCACAGGACAGGAGATGCGCTCCATCATCCACAGCAACTCCTCACCTCGGCCCGCAGCTGTCACTCCGGCTACACCGAGTTCTTCGCGAGTTGTGCAGTCTCGTAACCAATATGGAAGTGCCCCGACTTTGACAAGCCCAGAGTCTAGGGTCAGTACACTTTTCCCCTGTGTGATTTGCCAGTCTTCAATACTTTCAGATACTTTTCCGTATGTAGTGAAGTTCTGGCTTATGCTTAACAAGTGGCTGAGTTACTGAAAAAAAAATGTGTGTGTTTTCTTTCATGGCTTCTCCATTTTGGGTTGTTTTTGTTCTTTTTGTGTCATCATAAAACTTTTTTTTTGGTCTGAGCCTGTTGTCAATAGGTCTCCTATCATATGACAAATCTAGCTCTTATCTTGTGTCTGGAGTTTAAATCCTAATGTAGGCCTGACGTTGCCCTTTTTGAAAAGACATCTAGTGCAATTTTCCTCTTTTCCCCGAAGTGGAAAGGGGTATCTAGATCAGTCAAAAAAGGTCTTGTATGTATGTTCATGTTTGAAGGAATGTAAAAGAGTGGCTTGCACGTACATTTCAAAGGAGGCTAGGAATGTGTTGGAATGCTATAGGGCCTGACAGGGTAAATAATAAAGCACGTAGAGTCTACTTTTGAATAGAAATAGAACGGGGAAAAATGCAATTTGCTGTTCATTTATGTCCTCTTCTAAGCACTTTTTGACCATTGCTGTATGGTACTTGAAGCAACTTAATCACAGTCGAGTAGAGGGAAAAAAACTGAATATCTATGACTTGTATGTTCACAGCTGGTTGTTGACAGCAATGTGCCAGTGCTGGAGGGACCCCAGAAAATTCTTATCCAGAATGTTCCGCAAATGGCCACAAGGGAGACGCTGATCAAGATCTGCAAGCATTTTGGACGAGTTCTGGTATGTATACTGGCCCTTTGCTGCTTGTTTGGAAGTCCTCTTTTTTGTCTTTAATTCCTCAATAGTTATGGTAGTGGCAATCAAATTTTCGTTGTTCTTACTGTGGGTAATGATAAGGTTTACAGTTTCGTCTGTTTGAGGCGATTTTTATATGAGATTTGATGGTCTATGGTCTCCACTCCCTTGCAAGTATGACTTGTATACAAGTATGGTTTGGTGTATCTTTTTCTTTGAACAAAACTGCTTTCTCTTTCTCCTGGAGCTGTCTCTCTAGCATGGATCTAAACTGGGTTTTTTTCTCACTATTTTCAGTTTTTTTTCTAGAACTTTGTGGCAAATGCTACGAATATATCATGCCTTCCATTTCCACCCTTAAATTTTTTAGCTCAGGTTTTTTCAAAATAGGCTTATTAGACCAGACAGATGTTCATGTTATAAATAAATACATTTGAAATTGAAACCGTATGTCATGTAATGTAGCCAGTCAACTTAGGTACATGAGACTGAAAATAGTGCCTTGAGCAAAGTTTTTGAGAATGTTCTTTTTTAGTGATAATACTTTGAAGCAAGCTAATATGTCCCTCGGAAAATCCCCATGCTGTCAATGCTAATGTTAATATCAATACAGCAACTTGACTGCTCTCATGATTTTTGTCTGTCATTTCCAGTAGCTTGTGTGTCAAAGTTAAACTGGCTGCAGAACATGTTGCAGGCAATTGTTTTCTCACAGATTCGCTTTTTAAAAAGTCGTTTAAAAATGTCAATCCTTCAGGGACTGAACCTGCTGCGAGAACAGAACAAGGCTGTGGTGCAGTTTGAGACTGGAGCTCAGGCTGCCAAATGTGTCAACAAGTGCAACCAGTAAGTATTGATATTCTCAGTGACTTGGCCGTACTATGTTCAGACTATAAAAATCCGCCAGGAGGGTTGTATGCGCACCAGCTTGCTATTTTCAGTGCTTCTACTCTTCTGTATTTTTACGGAAATCCGTACTTTCTGCCAGTTCCGTATTTGTTCCTCCATCATTATCAACTCCCTCCGTAAAAAGCTGTGACAGCATAGGACTACCGAAATTCCGTAGCAAAAGATCTGTACTCGCCTTCGTATCGTCTAGTACTAGGTATAAGTTACGGTAATTCTCTCGGCAACAAGTTAATGTTATAGAAACCTGCCAGATTACGCATTTCCTGCGATCGGCCATTATTCCGCTATGCCCCATGCATTCATTGCGGGCTTGTCGGCAGTACATTTTTACCTGTGGATTGATCAAAATCTGATGAACTTTTTGTGCCAATTTCCTCCTTTCTATCATTCACTCGTTGAACTCATTCCGTCTGTCTATCTTCGGATTGTTGCAGCGGCTGCAAAATCTGCGAGTTGATCAAGTAAATTGACTTGTGATCTTAGAAAATTACTGTCAGAAAGAAACTTTTTTTTACAAATTTGTCTAGATCTAGAGAAATGATCAGTACGAAGATTCTAAGGCATGGGACGATAAGGGCGGAATGAAAGAAATTTATGCTAAATCCAGCCTAAAACTAGTAAAGTCAAGAATAATTCGAAATAGTGTTCCAAGGTTGTGACATGTGACATTCAGGCGTGAAATTTAAGGAAAATGAGGGTATACGCCGGATAACTGTATTGTGAAGGTACATATCTATTCCTTATTCCCAGGTTTGCCTTCTATCAATGGTGCGATGACAAATTAATTGGATTATATATAGTAGCAATTGAAGGGGAACCTGCTTTTAAACATTGCCATCAATGGAAATATATTATGTAGATCTTGGGGAAGAAATCAAACAAGACAAAATCTTGGTAAAAAAATTAATGTTATGGTTTGCAGGCATTCTCTTCAAACAGGCTCACAAATGCCATTTTCGACCCTCTAAAAGCACTAAATTTCAATTTGTTCGGAGGCTTCGCCCCCTGAACCCTCACCGGGACTCTGTCCCTGGACCCTGCTGGGGGCCCCCGGACCCCCGGCAGAATTTTCCTTACTTTCCAGCTTCAGCTGGTGGAAGCACTGTATTTTATACTTAACGTTGTAGAAGTTCTCTTACTTTCCTTTTCTTCATATTTTCTTCCTATAACTCCTCTAGGCTACAATTGTCGACATTGTCTTGGTATCAGGGAATCAAGGGGCTTGCTTAAATTATGCATACAGTAGTCTCCGCCTAAGGTCGCGGTGCTCATGAGCTAGGAAAATGCGGGATCTTAGGTGAACGAGATCTTAGCTGACATACCATGGTGAGAATCTGTAGTGACTCATGTTCAGGCCCACAATTGGTTAAATAGTCTTATGGTGAACAAAGAGTTGGTGACTTTGTTTACCGATCGCAATGGCATGGCAATTTTTACTTATCCAACTGTGAGTCTCAAAATCTATGCTGATCCTAATGCTCCTCCCCTTTACTAGTCCAGAATTTTTTGCTTTCCATCTTTGACCGAGTTCCCCTGCCTCTGTAGCAACGTACCATTGTGTTGTGGCTGCACTGATTAAAATTCAGTTTGTTTTGCAAATTCGAGAGTAGAGGCAACTCGTACAATAGTCCGGGAAACACACGCACCAAAAAGTTCACAGTTCGATATGATCTCGTCGGATGCCAACTTTTCGGCCCTAATCACCCACCAGCATGTAATGTAAGTTTAGATAGAGAGTTCAGATTCGAGTGCAGTGTTTGGGGAAGACAAATGTGTCGACGAGTTCTCACCTCAGTGTGATCTCGTCTGAGGCAAATATTGTACCTTCTGTCAAGATTTACAATGGAGATGTGATCACATTCACGAGAGGGGCTGATCTGTGATGCAACGAGCCCAAATTTTCGCTGCTTGGTTGATCAGCTGTGCCTTCTTGGGTTATTGTTTCCCAAATTATATCTGAATGCAGGATCTTCGCTGAATCTAGTCCTTCAGAGTGGGATCTTAAAGGTGACTTTTGTGTCGGAAAAAATGTGTTTTCTTAAAACAATGTGATCTTAAGTGAACCGGGATGGAAAACGGTGGAATCTTAGGCGGAGACTACTGTACAGTGTACTGCCTTATCAGTGATGAGTATGCTACTGCATATTTTTTATAGAAACTCAAAACTGCATAATTTTATGCGAAAGCACAAGTGTTTCGGTTGTGCTTTTAATTTCGGTTGTGCTTTCAATGTATCACTCCCTGACTGCATATTCTCTGTGCTGGGCTTGTTAGCCTGGATAAACTGTGCAAATGGTTGTTAAACGTTTTATTCTTTTTCTGTCCCTTTGTAACTGTTTTCTTGTTTCTTCTAGAGCTATGCAATCATCAGTGACAGGTTTTCCACTTTTTAAACCAGGTTCGCTTTTTTCTTTCTCCTGTTGTTCTGTCATGAAAAGTGTCTTTCACTTTGTAAAAAAAACAGCTTTTCAGTTGCTTTCCTTTTATGCAAATGATGAAGTCAGTAAACTTTTCAGGCTTGACTGCTGCCTTTTTAAAAATTGTTTTACAGGAAAATAATGAATACTTGGTTTGTGACGCGTCCTGTCAGTTTCTTTTCTTTTCCTTTTTTTTTGCAAGAGTCAAGCCAACTGCCAGTAAAGTGCCCCCTCCCTTTTGTTAACATTACACTTGTCCTATAACCCCAGTCCTTGACACTAACACCCCAGGAAAAAGGACTGTCCTTAGCCATGGTACAATTTTTATCTTGCATTTCTCTTCATTTGCACTTCCTAGATATTTAAAAAAAAGATCTCTGTGAAAATGGTTACAAAATCCAGGTGGAAAATGGGTAAAAAAACAACCCAGGAAATCCCCCCCCCCCCCTCCCCTTATCCCCCATGAGTGGGAACCCTGGTGGTAACAGTTACCTTGAAAGTGTTGGGGTCAACACACATTTCTGACAATCCATCTCCTCCTGAAGATTTTCTTTACAGTGACGCTGTGGTAACTTTTTTAGTCAGCAGAAATATGCCACCAATTTCTTTGATGCGGTAGGGGTCAACATACATTTCTGTCCTTCTCTCAGGAAATGTCTGCATAAGACAAGGATCTCTGTGAAACTGCTGGCCAACTAGACCTTGAGATGCACACAGTATGGAAGCAGAAGCTGATCTTTGTTCAGTACATCATCATTCAGTCAGTGTGAAAACACTGACTTAGCCGAGGCATCTTGTGACTTCAGATTTGACAGAATGTTAATTACTCTCAAAATATCTTTGCAGTGTGGATATAGACAATCGTTCTCAGAAAAGTTAAATTCTAGAAGGTAGAAACATGAAAAGATTAGAAAATTCTCCCTAGTTGTGGATATAGAATGGTAAGTATAAGTGTCAATTTCAAGGTTCCTACGTAATCAAAGATTAAAACTTTTGTCCTCCTTTGATTATTTTTTGTTTATTTGAAGTAAGGGTCAATACATAATTACCAGCTTCAAGTGTGAGCTTGTATCGCTAAAAGTATTGTTTGCCTACAAATAATAAGATTGCCTGAAGTCCACAAGATATGTTTAGCAACTGGATTTATGACACACATTTCATGGACCTAGAAAGTGGAAGAATTTCATGTATTTCAAGTTTGGATTTCTAGGAGTTCATTGATCATCAAATGAATCACCAGGTAAGCTTTTATGTCCACAGATCATAATCATTTTGAAATGTAAAACAATGCTTTGTTTCCTCCCCCCCCCCAATTTGTTGCATGTATGTATATAAACAGGGTTGAGCCTTTGCAAGATGACCACCCTTTACTGAGGGGGGAAAAGGTAATTTTAGACAGGTTGTCCTCTTGGGTAGTGTTATTACGATTTTTTTAAAAACAACACAAGGGGAAAGTTGGAAGTGGCTATTTGTAGAGGTCTTGGACAGGTTGTCGTTACAGCAGGTTCAACTGTATGGGTGTTGTGCTCCAGATTGGTTGGTGTTATCAGTGGATTTGTGCGGTTGGCATCATGTTCTGAAGGTTATCGGGCCTAAGTAAATTGTGGCTAGGCACTCCTCCTTTTATGATTCCCTTCATCTAGACCTAATTTTGTGGGTGGTTGGCGGGCGCTCTGGTGTGGTTTACTCCTTCATTCCTATCAAACATCTACCATCCTTATCTTGATTCCTTTTTTGTGTTTGTTATTCTTTGTAACACCTCTAATCTTTGGCACTTATATGAACTAATTGTGTTGCAAGAACCGTAAAACTCTGATTGAAACTAAACAAGGACCTCATTTTTATTTTTTTCTGTATGTGATGTTTGCTTGAAAATTTGAATCGATTTCAGCTGCAATGTATCCTCTTTAGATTTGCTGTTAAGAGTTTTAGAATTTCACTTTTTGCTCCTAAGCTCTTCCATTCAGTTTTAGTAACTAGTGTCTTTACCGCTAGTCATATATGCATTAAATCTAGGGTTTCTTTGTCGATGAAGGAGACACTCTTTTGGTATATCATTTATTCTTTTTCTTCTCTCTGAATCATCTTTACTCCACGTTCAAAATTGTCTCAGTACTCCTGAGCACTGCATTCTGTCATCATTTTATTTCCATCGAATATAATAGCATATAAGCAAGTCTATTTTAAGTTTAGCAAGTTAAACTGAACTTGTAAAGGAAACCCTGTAGGTGCACTTTTCCCTCAGTTGACATCATGCTAGACTGGTGCAGATGGCCCTGGTTCAAATTCCCAGTGGGGCATGCTTGAACTTCGATTGTTTGGGGCTTTTTTTAAAGAGTCTCCATCCACTTGACTAGGTCCTGTTGGAGATGGACTGAAATTCAGAAGCCCTGCCTATTGAATAACCTGACATTGTTGAAGGGGGTGTTAATTAGCTAAACCTATACAACTCCTAAGGAAATGCTGAGACCTTTAAAGTGTTTGCATTCATGGCAAAAAGTTAGATTTCCATGAGGAATTTCCCTGAATTTTGTCAAGCTCATTTGATTAATTGTTATTCCATCTATAAATACTGCCAACTTAACTTAAATAAATCATTAAAATGTCATGATTCATGGTACGCAAGGTTAGCTTACTATTATCAGGTAATGATGTTCTTCTTGATTAATTATGAAACACCATTTTTCTCATTTGAAATTACATCATCAATTTTTTTCTGGAGCTTTCTGTGACTCTGTGAATTCTTGACTATGTAACAATGGGTTTCTGATGACATTTTATGAAGTACTGTGTGCTGTTTCTGTATTGCTTGAAGGACATTTCAGTTTCTGTGTTTGCTCAGTACAAGTGTGTAACTTATATATAAGGAATAGTAGGAATTTTTCACATCCAAGGAATGGTGCTGCTGATGATGCAAGCATTTATGCCATTTTTTCTTTTTCTTGTAGATACATAGTCTTATTTTCTTTTTCTTCACTACAAACAGAAGCCTTGATTTTTAAAGCCGGGGTTGATATTTCATTGCTTATTCCTTATATTCTTTTTTTTTTTTTTGGCTGTAGAAACAGATTAATTGTATCAGGTCAGGAGTCCTGTCTTTGTGACAGAGGCTTCCTGGTCATAATCAGATCGATGTGAATCTATATGCACTGTATAATCACATCTGGTCATAATTATTGTAGTATTTGAATAATTGGTACCACTGTCTTTGGAGACAAAACAAATTGTCTTTGTTCATGTGTATTTCTTGTGCCTCGCTTTTATGATGATAATAATCCAACGGATGTAGAAGCCAAGTTGGCTCTAAAATATCTGTATATTGGCATTAATTTGATTTTGTTATTTTATATATGTTTATGTCACACAAAAAAAAAAGGAATCCCCTACTGTGTTTGTCAGATCTTCAACTAGCCCGACATGTGTTGTTTTTGTTTTATGGAAGGTTTTATTTTGCATTTATAGGAAAGTAAATGTATTATAGACCATTTTATTGGTGTTTTTGTGACAAAGTTTAATAGTTTTATGTGTGTGGAATTACCACCTTTATTGAAAGGCGCAACATTTGTTATTGTCATGACATGACTAGTTTGAAATAAACTTCATTGGTAATTTCATCCATCCTAGGTATTTCTTTGTCTGTTGTGACTAAGATTGTGGGGAGATAAATGTGAAATTTAATTTAAAATGTTTCCTCCACACAGAAAAGTATTTACATTAAGTATATTGTATCTGCATTCTGTGCCTTACCTTGTTGCATTTTTAAAAGAAACTGGCCCCTTGTTTTCATCCAAATGTGTTTCCACCTCAGCATTTTGCCTGTGGGATTACTTTTTTTCCAGCTATAACAAATTTACTTTTATAAATATAATGATATTAAGGGCCAAAACGATTTGCACAGTATTCAGTGCTTTAGGTTTTTAAATGTGAACAGTGCCATACTCTTAGCATTAAAAAGATATAACATGATGGGCAAACACTTTTCTTTTAGAATGTGTGTTTTTGTGTGTTTCTATGTGTATGTTTGTGCACTATTGTGCATATGGATGTGTGTTTCTATCTGCGAAAGAGGGAGAGCGATTTTTTTTTTAGTCATGCGTGGAAGAAACTAAGACAAACACAGTTTTGTACAACAGGAAGTAAAGCAACACTTTCAGAACATGGTTGTTTTGATTGGTCAGAGCCTTGTTCATTCTAAATGTTCAACTGGGCAGTATAAGGGAGTACATCCACCTTTTGTTGACAATACAGTGTGTACTTTATTGAAAGAGCCCAAAGGTATGGGGAATTTATATCTTAGGAGGCAAGTGTTCTTGTTTTCTTGTTTTATTGTGTCTGAATGGTGAACAGGGGGTGGCTGTGAAGTTTATTATATTTTTGAATCGTTGTTTACTCTTTGGTACTCTCAAATGTTCTGTATTTATATGATGACTTTTGTTTATGTGAAAAGGGGTGTGTGTTCAGTGTAAATTTGGTTTGTTTTTAGTGTTAGCAAGTGTATTCATAAGGTGAGTTTATATTGCTTGTTTAAACCCAATTGAATTCAATAGACCTAATCTGTATGAGATTTTTTTTTACTCAACTAGGCTTTATGGTTCTTTGGCTTTAGACTAAGTTTGGGCTGCAAAAGGAAAAGAAAAGATATCTGAATTTTCAATGTACAAAAATAAAAGACTTATTGAGGTCCTTTCAGTTGTTCAGACTGTGGTTTGTAAGAGGAGTCCAGCTGATGGGCTGCCTGAAGCAAATCTGTTAATGGGTTTGTTACTACTAGCTCCTAGAATATATCCTATGATTAGACTCAATTTTTCGAATCCTTCAACTTCAAGCTTCCATTTTCACGTTTGTGGAAATTGCTGTTGTACAGTTGATCATGATTTGTGAAGGTATGGTGGGTCTGGTATTTTGGTGTTTTTTTTAGGTTGAGATTTAGATAATTATCTCTCAGATGAGTAGTTTTAAGGGTAAGGACTTCAGTGCTCCAGGGTTTATTATGGAACCTGTGCTGGTCTGCTGTATCAAGAGTGTACTGGTTTATTCGTGATTCGTGGTGTCGACTCTGTACTTGTCCAGTGCTTGGGCTCACAGTTGCATGTTAATGCGTGGATATTCAGAAACTCGTGAATTAATGAGGGTAAGACTGGATGCAACCATGGTGTTTCTTTTCTTTTTTTTTTATAGAGATGTCATAATAACTTTTTTCCTTTAAAAGAATTTAAAGAGGTATAATAAAGAAACCTTATTTAGTGAAAGGAATGTCAAACTTTAATTTCCGGTGAACACAAGAGGCTGAAGGGGTCAAAACTACAAAATGCTTTAGTGTTTAGTTTTTCTGGTTTTGGGGCCTGTCATTTCTCTGAAAATCTTTATTGTAGGGAAACATGGATCAAATGCCTTGCACATGAATTTCTTACATACCAATCTTTTATCAACTTTTGTTGATAATTTGTTCGTTCAAATACAAAAACTGTACTATGGGTGACGAAAGCAGTGACAAAATTTACAGCATTTGGCATAAGGAATCCTCTCTCCATTAATTTTGTAATTGAGATGCTCACAAAGAGTTTAGTCCTTTCATCTCAGAAGTATCTGGAGTTAAAAGTGTTACTCTAACCTTTTCTTAAATATGAGCTGAGTGTGAAATGTTAATTATAGTTTGTATTTCTTAAATGCGAGGTGAGTGTTAAAATGTACATTATAGCTCATACGTACATATCAGTCGTTACGGTAATGATTTTAAAGTTCATGGTGTCTTAGGCTATGAGAAAAAAAGATCAGCAAGGCTATTTTAAGAGAAATTTCAAAACCAGGCCCGGGAAGAGAGGGAATTTTGGAGAAATTAATAAAAGTTTTCATTCTGATTCTGGTGGTGTTTTGAAGGTTAGATAGGTATGGTTGGTTTGGGGGAAAAAGGAGGGGGGGGGGGTATACCTCTGTATTTTTGTTTAGTTATCTGAATTATGGGGTAAATGTTCTTATTTCTTCAATCTCTTTTAAACATGTTGATGAATTCGAAACTAAGTAGCAGAGGGTATAGACATGAGGAGAAGTAATTTCCTCAAAAGAGAATTGGGAGTTGAGGGTCATATTCAGCTTGGAATTTGCATTTGCACTTGTAAAGGTGCATTTTCAGTTGAAAAAAAAAGGAACAGCACTGCAAGAAAGTCAAAACAGTGCAGTTGGACGTTTGAAAATCATATAGTTTGAAGTATTTGGTTTCTATAGTGCGTCCAGAAACTTTTGCCATTTTTTGATTTAATGTCTTGGCTGTTAAGCAAATTTGTTGAGTTTATTGCAAAGTTTTTCAATTCTGATCAGAATAGGTAGATTAATTTGCTCTATAGGAGTTGAAATGTTTCCAATTTTGCCATTTTGTTTTCAATAAGAAATTAAAAAGGTTATGAGTCATGTTTTATACATTTACATACAGTGCTATGGTCTTCTGTTCAATGACAGTTACAGACAGCTAACTTATTCTATTTTTTTCATGTGAGATTTTCCAGTGCTCTGTACATTGCCATGGCATTTTTCTCTTTTACTTAAGGAAAAAATGGAGTGAAATGAAGGTCCTGTACTATATATGCATTTGGCAGTTAGGGGCATTTTGTATTGGTAGTTAGAAATCGAAGGAATTTGATTGTCTAATAAAACTACGGCAATTGAAAAATTGTTCTGGCTCAAGACCCATTGCCATAGATTGCTAAAGCTGAGATTCAGCA